GGGGCGGAGGGTTGGAACTGGCGCCCAGGGCTGCGCTCGGCCGTCTTTTGTGCCCGGGTTTAGCTGGACCCTGGATGCAGCTTTGTGAACTTGGCCATCCCGCAGTCAAGTTTCCATTTTGCCCTTGGAGATCCGGGGTGCCAGGCCGGTGGCATTCCCGGAGCCGGCTGCCTGGGGAGGGGGCTAACAAAGGCCTGGGCCGCTGGGTGGGGGAGGAGATGCTGATGACCCCTGGGTCTCTGGTCTTAAAAAGGAAATGCTGCTTTGTTGGGGCAAGGCTGGCTGTGCTCTCCCTCGGACACAGGGTGTTTCCTCCTCCTGAACCCAGGGGCCCAGAGGAGGAGGAGCTGCTTCAGAGGAGAAGTGCTTCCTGCACCCATGGCTGTGCAAGGTTGGTGCCGTCCTTTGCCTGGGAGCAGGGCTAGCTGGCCAAGCTGGCACGGAACTGAGATGCACGGGCAGGCGTGTACCACCTGGAGGAGGCTGCTTCCCTGCGGGGCACTCAGAGCTGTGGAAGCCTGAAGGGGTGCGGTGATGGGGAGCTTAGGTGGAGGTAGGCATTCTGCAGGGTTTGTGCTGATAAGGCTGGGAGAGAGCCCCCACCCTGCAAAAGGCTTCCAGGTCCAAGGACTGTCCTGCCGGCAGCATGGAGCTATTGCAAGCCTAAGAGCAGTGGTGCCGCTCACTGTCCTTAGGTGGGAAGCTCCCTCAGGGGCAGGAATCACAGGAGGTTCCTCCAGCTGGGGTCAGGAAGCAGGAAAGGGAAAGGAAGAGATGATGGGTAAAGAACAGCCCGGAGCCAAGTGCCTGGGAAATCTGCAGGCTGGTGACTAGGGAAGGAAGCAGAGCTGCTTTGGGGGTCCTGTTACTGGTTTGGTTTCATGTTGAGTTTGGTGTGTGGGATGCCCTCAGGTTTGAGCTGATTGGGGCAGGAGAAACAGATGTACTGGGTAAGGGGTGTGACCACAGGCTCAGAGGGATCAGGTCAGGTAATGTTGCCTGTTTAACCTCTGAATTGGACAGAGGGGCATCCTTGCAGGCCTCTGGAAATTTAGCTGCAGCTTAGGGGTTAGGATTATCTTGGCTTGAGGGCTGCAGAATTTCCCTGGTCCAGGAGCTTCTGGCAGACTCTTAGTCTCAGCCAGGTGAGCCCTGGGCCAGGCCAGAGCTGTGTCCCCAGAGGCCAACTATGAATACAACAGAGAGCTGTGAAAAGCCTTTTGTCCTGGGCCCGGGAGGGGGGCAGAGGAGGAGGAGGTCTGACATCACCCACAAATCTGGTCACTGTGTGTGGGGTGGAGGGATCTGAGGGAAAAGCCAAGGGGTGGGTGAGTCCTGTGGCTTTTCTTTTCTCATTTTGACAAGCATGAGAGTTTCCTGGTTACCCAGCTCTGGGACATAGGCCTAAGCATGTCTCCTCAGAGCCTTTTCTCTGAAGAATAGTGTGAACTTTGCCTGCTCCAAGCCAGCAGAATGTAACGGGCTGTTTCTCAGGCTATGTCCCACCATGGTGACAAGAGGGCAGCAGGCAGTCATCGTTCCTCCCTGCTCACCAATGTGGCCACAGCACCGAGCTTAGAAACACAAAAGACAGAAAGATACCCCAGTGCTGGCTACNCACAGCCTCTGCAGTGCTGGCTACCCGGCCAGGCTGCCCTGTCTCTCTCTAGGAGCAGACCTGGGGCACCCCTCGAACTTCAAGAGCCATTATCAGGGATGTACATGATCCCATCCAGTCCAGGACAAGCCTATCACCTCTTGGCCACAGTCACCCAGCCTCAGGGACTCGTCTGGAGTACCTCATGGCAGGCCTGTGGGTAGGATGAGCTGTGACATGAGGGAAAATGGCTCAGAGTGGAGGGTCAAGGTGTGCTTGGGAGGGGCCCACTTTTGTTCCCCACACCCAGCTGTCTCCTAGGGCTGACCCCAGCCCTCCCAAAAGGACATGCTTGGAATATCCCCTGGCCTGA